GCGATGCCCGTCGCGCTCTTAGACTGGCCAGACAAGGGCCTGCCAGGTAAGCTCGTCCACGGGTTCGAGATAGTTGCTGAGGTTCTGGCCTTCGGTGCCCTCCAGCCACGCTCTGCGAAACCCGCCGGGCGCAACGCGCCCCCGCAGCCAATTGAGACACCTGCGGGGACCGTCTGCCAAACATCTCGTGGATGACATGGAACGAAGCACGCGCCCAGGCCCCTTGACGAAGGTCATCTATGATCTGACTGTTGAAGAGATCAAGGCGGGCCTGGCCGACCCCGTCATCACGCGGCGCGAACTTGACCTCCGGTTTGAGCCTGGTGGCCATCGCCCGCTCCCGCGCCACGCTATATGGCAGGGCGACAAGCGGCGTTGAATCGACGATGGAAGGAGGTCCCGAACTAATGCCTTATCCTCCTGGTCTGAAACGCTAGTAGTTATTCCGCCAGAGCTGCCGTTGCTTGCGGTGCGCGCGTTGACCGTCCGTGTCTGGGAAGACGGCCGCGCGCCCCCCGAGCGGTTCGAACTCGTCGCGTCAGTGGAGGACTGGTGGAAAAGGGTGCCGGCAATTATGCCCCACCCGCCGGGACATGGGAATCGTCGCAGTGGCCCTTCTCCACCCCACCACGCAAGAGCGCATGTGCAGCGTGCTCCGCGGCTTGCCCTTCGGCTTGGGGTCGGCGGTGGACCTATTCAACCGGGCCCCGCTCCTCCTCGCAGCCGCCGCTCGCCGCCTGCTGTACATCATGGGCGGGCATTGCGTCGACGACAACCTTATCGTTGATTTTGCATTTTCCAAGGGAGACGCCCAGCAGGCTTTCCAAGAGCATGCGCGCCTGCTCGGCGGTGCATTCTCGGGCGGAAAGCGCGCGCCGCCAACGTCGATGCTGCCTCTCCTGGGACATCTGAACGACCGTAGCCGGATCCAGACAGATTTGGCGGTAGGTTTTGAGCCCGAGCCAGGGGCGCGCAGTCGTTCTCTGGACGAGATCGAACACATGTTGTTGACCGGGCGTCTCCAGTCAGGCGACGCCGCACACCTGCGCAGCATTAGCACATGGCTGGGCAGCTCGCTTGCTTGCCGACACTTCTCGCGGAGCCCTGTCCGCACCTACTGCGCGCCAGTATTACGAGGATACTACGTAACTCACCGAATCTTCGGCAAGTATCTATCCTCCGTGGCACGACGCGCCTCGCCCCGGCCGCTGACCATCACGCATGACCCGCCTCCGCCAGTGGTGGCATGCACGGACGCCTCCGCAGAAAGGGACACACCGCCGCGACTTGGCGCCCTGGTGTTGGTTCCATGACGGTCGCCTGTTTGCCTGGTCTACGACGTTTCCCCAGCATGTTTGCCCACCTCGGCGCACAGGGCGGCCACGTGATCAGCCAGGCAAAACTGCTAGCCGCCCCTCTCCTGGCATGGTCCGCGCCGTCCCTGCTGAAAACAGGGACGTGCTGTGGTTGATCGACAACCAGGCAGCCGAGGCTGCATTAGTCAAACCGTGTGCCGCCTGGCCCTTGTGGCCACAGCGGCCTTGACGGTTCTTGGAGCCAGGCCGCGGTTGGAAAGGATCCCGTCTGCCGACAACCCCGCGGATGTCCTGAGCCGCGACAGATACGACGACCCCGTCGTATTGTCTCACCTCTGCGCATCTCGCTGGGGGGCGTTTTCGCCTCGCGAGCCTCCTGTAGCCGCCTTGGACTTTGACTGTCTGTTTTCTTCGCCTCCCTGAATGGCAAAACCAGAGGCTCCAAGGCGCCAGAGGGATGCTTGCCAGCGGCCAATCTATGACCAGCTTTTGCGCAATTGTGGACAGCGTTTGGGGGCTTGGGGGCGTATGTTTCAGCGTTGGGCATTTCGGATTGGTCGGAGCCCACGTTGCCACATGTGGTGCTCCCGACACCAAGCTCCCCCGCAACCACAGGTCAAAGATTGCAGCTAGGGCACGTTTTCCTCACACTTCCCCTTCTCGCTAATAATCGCTCATATCAGTTTTGGGAAGGCAGGGTAGTTGCTGAGGGGGCTTATCGTCAGGAGGGAGTGTGCACCTCGTCGCAGCCCTCTCGGCCCGAGGGGTGCGCAGGCGAGGGTCTAGTTTCCCCGCCCCCCTTCCCCGTCATACACCATCCATCAGACGTAAGATTCGTCTGTTCAGCCCTGTGTGCCAGCATGCCAAGCAACCGGCTGGGCCATGACCTCCTTGGGTTCCGTCCGGCCCAGTCTGCCCAGCTCCAGCCGGCGATAGTCCTCAAGACGGGGGTATCTTGGATCGGTCGGAGCCCACGTTGCCACATGTGGTGTTCCCGACACCAAAGCTCCCCCGCAACTGCAGGTCAAAGATTGCATCTAGGGCACTTTTTGTTCGCACCCCCCCTTCTCGCTGATAATCCTCCTCCTCCTCCTCCTCATCTTTGTCCTCCTCCTCCTCCTCGTCCTCCTCCTCCTCATCCTCCTCCTCCTCCTCCTCCCCCTCCTCCTCCTCCTCCTCCTCCTCCTCCTCCTCCTCCTCCTCCTCCTCCTCCTCCTCCTCCTCTCCCTCCTCCTCCTCTTCCTCCTCCTCGTCCTCCTCCTCGTCCTTCTCCTCCTCGTCCTCCTCCTCCTCCTCCCCCTCCGCATCCTCCACCTCCTTCTACTCCTCCTCCTTATCCTCCTCCTCCTCGGGTCGCCTACGGCCCAGAGGGAAACCGTGCAATCTTCGGCGGCCGAGACGGTTGTATTCTCGGCGGCCGAGGGCGCAACCTATGGTTGAGCGCGAAGCGTATGGCGCACCCAATCGGCGTCCGTTTTCATCTCTACGGGCCGTCGACCGCGTGGAAAAGAGCAGTGCGAGGAGGGCGGGGGAAAGGAGGAGGGGGAAGAGGAGGAGGAAGAGGAGGAGGAGGAGGAGGAGCACGATGAGGAGGAGGAGGAGGAGGAGGAGGAGGAGGGGGACGAGGAGGAGGACGAGGAGGAGGATGGGGAGGGGGAGGAGGAGGAGGAGGAGGAGGAGGAGGAGGAGGACGAGGAGGAGGAGGATGAGGAGGATGGGAAGGGAAGAGGAGGAGGAGGAGGAGGAGGAGGGGGAGGGGGACGAGGCGGAGGACGAGGAGTAGGAGTAGGAGGAGGAGGAGAGGAGGAGGAGGAGGGGAGGAGGAGGAGGAGGAGGAGGAGGAGGGGAAGATGGGGGGCCAGGAGCAGGACGAGGAGGAGCACAAGGAAGAGGAAGACGAGGATGAGGACGTGGACGAAGAGGAGGAGGAGGAGGAGGAGGAGGAGGAGGAGGAGGAGGAGGAGGAGGAGGAGGAGGAGGAGGGTGAGGAGGAGGAGGAGAAGGACGAGGACGAAGAGGAGGACGGCGACGAGGACGAGGACGACGAAGATGAGGACGAGGAGGATGAGGAACAAGATGAGGACAGGGAGGAGGACGGGGAGGCATACGAGGAGGATGAGGACGAATACGGACAACGAAGACGGCGACGGTGACAGCGACAGCGACAGCGGCGATGACGACGTCGACCAGCACCGCCACCGCGACGATACCCGAGGCGACCACGACCACGCCGACGTGGCCCTGACTGTCTGGACTTGGGACTGCGTGCGGGGCTACGCCCGATTTATGCTCGCCGTTTTGGCTGGCCGCGGAGCCCAAGCGGCGAGCTGTCTTGTGATTTTAGTTGTTTTGACTATTTTCGAATTTGTTTTACTATTCTTATGGTTCTCCCAAAATTCGTCTGTAGGAGGACATGCCCGACATAAACCTACTAGGTGGGTAAGTCGGCCAGCGGGGTCAAGACTGCGCTGGTTGGGCCAGGAGTCGATCAAACGATGCTCAGGCTCCCATCCCTCCTCAAGAAGAGAACAAGAGAGTACCGGTACCGCCATCCGTCTCGCCACGGCCGGATTCGTTTCGAAATGTTATATCCGTCCCGCATCGCTACTGCTGGATTCGCCTCGGAGTCTCGGTCAGACCGCTTGGGAGGGGTCGGAAGGGGTCGGGGGAGTAGCGGTATCGATACGAGTTGTTTCCCTATCTCATCCTCACTTCTCATCACTTCCCCTGCTCTGCTGACGGGGCTCCTGGGCGGAGCAGCGTCTGTGCCTTTCAGCGTCTGTGTCCCTAAATCTGGACGTCCGCTCTCTTCCCTTCCCGTGCCCTCTTCGTTGTCGTTGTTGTCGCCACCGCCGAGGACCGTCGTCGAAGTCGTCGTCTTTGTCAGGAGTCGCCGTCGTCGTCTTCGTGCGAGCCCGCCCCGACGATTCCGCAAGCCAAGTGCTCCGTGGAATGGACCGTCACGGGGTCTTGTGAAGTGCAGGGTTGCCCAGATGCTGGTGGTCTCCTCGGCACGCTCCTGAAGACATGACTGCTCCAACTGCACCTCCGTGAAACCAATCTTGAGCTGAAGTCTTGATCTATTTGGCATGCCGGCATGCTTCCAAAACACAAGCAACGGTCCGATTTGTTCGGAAAGCCAGATGCTCTATTATATGTTTCCCGCCACCGTGCCAGCGCAGTATCTAAACGCATGAAGGATGGTTCTATCGAGTTCTTCCGAACGGGCGAAGTAGAACCATTTCGGGGACGTCTGGGACACAGCGCTACTATTATGTAGCGAGTGGTCGTATTGATGCAGGTTGCTGTGGTGAGAGTGATGGGCGGTGTCTTTGTTCGAAGTTTCTTGTGGTTTTCTTCGGGCGGATTCTGGAGGGCCCTATCTACGCAGCAGACGTCGTCGGTCTAGATTCGCAGCTGCAGCAGCGCTCACGCTGGGAGCAGACATGTTATGAAGATTTTCACTGTCTGCTCACGTGTGTAGTGGCGCTGTGGCTGCCCAGGGCCGGGACGCGTGGCATGGTCATTCCGTGCTCGTGTTTTGAAATGGTGTGGCATGGCGGAACCTCGTGCCCCCCCCCATAAAGCGGCGACCCCTTTGTGTGGCTCCGCTGCGGCCGTTGAGGGCACCATGTTGCCTGTCGTTGTATGGGCGTGCGGCACTACCCCCGCACGACTCCCCAGGAGATGAACCTCCCGAAGTCTAAGAAGAAGTACCAGCTGGGCGTTTATGACCCCGAGCTGGCAAAGGCCCTCAGCGATACGCTCGGGCCCCAGCGAGCCCACTGGCAGCACAGGAGAGGAGAGAGGAGGGGAAGGACGGGGGAGGGGAGGGGGGCAGGGAAATGGAGCCAGGGGAGAACATTTTGGCGAAGCAAGACGGGGCAGAAGACCGAGGAGTTCGGGGAGGGAAGAGTGGAGGGAAGGACACAACAGCCCATTCCTTTCATCCTTCCTCTGCGCCTTATACTAGTGTAGTGATGTCGGAGCCCTTTCGCTTCGGCTTCGGTGACACACTGTGTTCGAGTAGCCGATGCCTACCATCATGTACCCTTCGTTAGAGTTGCTACTGCTGTTATATGCTGGACGCTACTTGGTGTCACCCAGGTGGATATCTAAAATGGTGGCCCCGAGCTGGAACCATGTGTTTTCACGTGACCAGGCCACCCAGGGCGGTATCTGACATGGTTGTCCCGAGCTGAAACCAAGTGCTTTCACCTGTCCAGTCCGCCTAGGGGGATATCTAACATGGTGGTTTCGAGCAGGAACCACGTGTGTTCACGCGTCCAGGCTACAACGGGAGAGATCCAGCATGTGGTCGTCGGGCTCTATGTCTGGGTGTCTCGGGCGAGAGCTGCGGAACTGAATCGGATCTTGAGCTCGAGCTGGTCGAGCGCCCCGTTCGTTTCGATTGCAACGACGCCAAGGACGGCTTGACCCACAATGCAATAGCGCACGGCGCGGTTCAACGCGGAATGTCCCTTGGCGCGTCCCTTGGCATTTCCACTGGCACGTTCCGTGGCGCATCCCTGGCACGTCATTATGCGGTGCGGTACAGCGCAGAGCAGCACAACAGCCCTTGGCAGAGTATCATCATTGATATCTTCAGCATTGCCACTGCCCATCTCCCAATTGAGGTGATTGGAAACGTCCCCATGCCTCGCAGTTCTAAATCACTTTCCAGGTTCGTGGGTCGATCATGTTGGAGCGATCTCGGGGCGGTCGGCAGTTCGAAAAGGCGGTGCCGCCAAAACCGTCCTACAACCCGCGCAAAATCAATGATTTGCGCGTGCTCGTGGCCTCTCGAAGTCCCCTTGGGACCCTCCTGGAGCGTCTTGGGCGCTTCTTGGACCGTCTCGAGGCCAGCGCGATCCATCTCGGATCGCTCCTGGCCTGAGGCCGTGGGGCGTGCCACCCTCTTGGCGCCTCGTTGGGGCGCTCGGGGGGGGCCCGAGGCCGCGCCCTGGAGTTCGGGCGTCTCTGCTCCGACCTTGCCAGCCGGGGTACTTTGCGTCCGCTGGCCCCCGGCGGCCGCCACGTACGCGCGCGAACTACAGAACACTCTCAAGCTCTCTCCGGAGAGTTTAGCACGCCTCGGGCCCGTCGGGCCGGCGAGTTCACAAGACCAGCAGTTGAGCACTGTGCAGCGGTTGCACGAATGAGCGCGGTCTCTCCTCACAGCGGGCTGCCTGTGGGCACTTCCTGGGATGCGAAACCCCACGCTGTCGCAGTCAAGCAGTGGCGAAGCGTCCTGGCGTGCCTATAAGCCTACCAAACAATGTTCTGAGAACCTTTTGGGGGTTCCACGCAATGTTCTTAGAACATTTCTGGCTGGGACTGTCTTGTTTTAACACATCGGGCTTATGTTCTAAGGACATTGTTTTGGTTCTTGGATCATTTGAGGGTTCTAAGAACATGTCGTGGTGGGCATATGGGAATGCCGGGACGGTCGGTCCCTGCTCAACGCAGTTTTCATCGCGATCCCGCCAGCATTGCCGGCAGTGGGGGGCGCTCGCTCGTCTCTCCAGGGCGGGGGGCGCTTACCGCAGTGGCCGAACATGTTCGCCGAGGAGAAGGAGAAGAGCACCCGGGGCAGGAAGGTGTGCTGTGATATGTCAGAGGAGGAAAAGTTACCCATACCTCTACCCTTTCCTCGTTGTCCCTTGTGTGGGGCCTCCACGGAGACCCTCGTCGCCACCGTCGGATTCGCCTCGAAATTTTGGTCAGAACGCATCCCAGGAGAGGTCCGGGGAGTAGCGGTATCGGTACCTTTCGGTGTCCCCAATATGGCTGGCACATACGGAGTTCATTTCAGTCATTACCTTCCCCTGCGTCCTTATCGTCTTCTTCCTCCTATCTCGCACCTCCTTTCCCACCATCCTTTTCCACTCCCCTTCCCCTCCCCTCCCATCTCTGCCGACCCTGGTGCGCTGCCAGTGCAGCTGGTCCAAGCTGGCACCGAGAGGGTTTGTGGGTCGGTTGTCCCCTCTCCTCGCCCCCTCCTGTTCCCTCGCCCCTGCCTCCTGTCTCATCCACATCGCGTACAGGGGGCCCAGGACAGCATGCCCGAGATCGTGGGGGGGGGAGCCCAGCATTGTCCCCATCGCCCGAGGCCCGCACGCGTGGCACCGCACGCTCCGCTCCAGCCCCCCCTGGAGCACGAGTCTGCTGGGGCGGCGCCTTTCCTTGGACCACGGGGCCCGGGGGCGTGCGCTGATCGTGCGGGGGGCCACACCGCGACTGGAGCATCCCACCCACACGCACATCCACACAACACCCACTTTTTGGCGTCGCGGCCACGGGCGCGACGGCCCGGCGTAGAACAAGTCGAACCACACACACACACACATACACAAGCACACACACACAAGCACACGCACACACACACACACACACACACACACACACACACACACACACACACACACACACACACGCACACACACGTTTCCTCTTCCCGCGAGGAAGCGGCACCGTCGCAAATGATAGTAAGGGGCACATACTTATACGCAAACCGTGGTGCCACTCGCGAGGTGGAGGAGCAGCAGCAAGAGCAGCAGCAGCAGGATGAGGAGGGGAGGAGAACGGCTGCTCCTTGGCGGCGCCGCTCGGAGGCCGCACTCTTCGAGCAGGGTAGTAACTGCAGAATTTATGTACCCCCAAAGGACATCGAGCGTTCGTAGATCAGCGGAGCCTTCGGCCATTTCCCCGTACTGTCGACGAAGACAAAGCAAATGTGGTACAGTGAGCGGCTCGAATAAGGAACACTTACTTTTCAAAAGGAGCTCGGTCGTTCCTTGTGCTCGCATGCGTTATTGGTCGTTATGCGTTGTGTATTGCGTATCGTTCTTTATGCGGTACTCCTTGGAGAAAAGGGGCTTCGTTCCTTATTCACCGTTCCTTAGGCCAGGCCGACGACCGTATTCGATCCCCTGTACGAGCTCTTCGGCGGCGCCGCGCGACTCACCTCCTCCTTCTTCTTCCTCCTCCTCCTTCCTCCTCCTCCTCCTTCTTCTTCCTCCTCCTCCTCCTCCTCCTCCTCCTCCCCCTCCTCCTCCCCCTCCTCCTCCTCAGGTTCTCGGTCACGCACGGGCAGAACGTGCGAGAGCTGCTGCGGGGGTGCCGCCAGCACTTCGGCCGCCTGGTGAAGGCCGCGGCCCTCGCGCGAGCGGTCTCCTTGCCGCCTGCTGCACGCAAAAGGAGGAGGAGGAGGAGGAGGAGGAGGAGGGGTAGGAAGAGGGGGAGGAGGAGGGCGAGGGGGAGGAGGAGGAGGAGGCAAGGGGCAGGAGCAGAACTGCAAGGGGGAAGCGGGAGGAGAGGGGAGAGGAAGGGGGCGAGCACGAGTATCGCCATGAACCTACGCACCGCACCACTCCAGCATGACCACGGGCGCTCTCGGCGGGCCGGAGCCGGCGCACCACATACGTCCAAGCTTTCCGGAAACTCGAGTCTTTCGCATCTTTTCCTGTTGCCCGAGGAGGAGCGAGTCGTCGGGGGGGTGGTTTGGAGGGGGGGAAATCTGGGGAGAGAAAGATACGGATACGTGTTGGCCCCCTTCGTTTTCGGCCTTCCTTGGGCCTCCTGGGGATTCCTCGCTGTCACCGCTGGATTCGCCTTGAAATTTTGGTCAGAACGCACCCCGAGAGAGGTCCGGGGACAACACGTATCCGTATCTCTCCGCGCCCCAAGGAAAGAGACGAGGAAGGAGACAGGAGATCTGTCAGAAGCAAAGCCCACCCCAGGGTCCATGCCTGTCCGATGGATCCACTCCGATGTCGATTTCGGCCGGCCCGATCCGATTGGGTTCCGATGTTATGATTCGGTCGGGCATGTACACAAAAGGGGGGGTGCTCGCAAAACCTTCCCCTTCCCCCCTTCAAAGGGGGGTGAGATTTTCGACCCCCCCCCCCACCCCCCCTTAAGCGGGGGGGGGTCCGAATCCCCCCCTCCCACCCCCCCTTGAAGGGGCGGGGGGGTCCGAAACCCCCCACCTCTGCCCCTTGGCGCTAGAGGGGGTGGCGTCGACCCCCCCCCTCCCCCCCTCTTTCGCCGAAAAGGGGGCCGGGGAGGAAGCCTCTCCCGCAAGGGAGGGGGTCTTGCTTCGGGATGGCGAGTAGAGACTAGTGAGTAGTGAGTAGTGAGTAGATAGTAGCGAGTAGTGTGGAGTGAGTAATGAATAATGCGTTGGGAGTAGTGCGCAGTGAATAGTGAGTAGTGAGTGGTGGGTAGTGGGGAATGGGTAGTGAGTAGCGAGTAGGGAGTAGCGAGTAGTTAATAGTGAGTGGTGAGTAGGGCATAGTGAATAGTGAGTAATGAGGAGGGAGTAGTCAATAGTTAGTAGTGAGTAGCGATCAGGGAGTAGTGAGTACCGAGTAGGAAGGAGCAAGTAGTGAATAGTGATTAGTGGTTAGTGAGTAGTGAGTAGTGGGTAGGGTGTATCGAGTAGTGATTAGTGAGTAGCGAGTAGGGCATTGTGAGTAGTGAGTAGTGAGGAGGGAGAAGTCAGTAGTGAGTAGTGAGCAGGGAGTAGTGAGTAGCGAGTAGGGAGTAGCGAACAGTGGGTAGTGCGTAGTGAATAGTGAGTAGTGAGTTGGGCGTAGTGATTAGTGTGTAGGGAGAAGCGAGAAGTGGGTAGTGAGTAGTGGGTACTGCGTAGGGAGTAGCGAGTAGGGGGTACTGAGTAGTGACTAGTGGGTAGTGACGTGTGACTAGTAAGTAGGGAGTAAGGAGTAGGGAGTAGTGAGTAGTGCGTAGTGGGTAGTGAATATTGCGTATCGGGTAGCGAGTTGCGAGTGGGGAGTAGCGAGTAGTGAGTAGTGAGCAGTGAGTACTGTGTAAGGAATAGGGAGTGGCGAGTAGCGAGCAGCGGATAGTGAGTAGTGAGTTGTGAGCAGTGAGTAGTGAGTGGTGAATTGTGAGCCCTCAGTAGTGAGTCGTGGATTGTGGCTAGTGGGTAGTGATTAGTGATTAATGAGTAGCGAGTAGTGGGTAGTAAGTAGTGTTTAGTGAGTAGTGAGTATTGCGTAGTGCGTAGTGGATAGTGAGTATTGAGTAGTGGGTTGGGAGTACTGCGTAGTGAGTAGTAAGTCGTGAATAGTGATTTGTGGGTAGTGGGTAGTGAGTAATGAGTCGTGATTAGTGAGCAGTGAGTGGTGAGAAGTGAGTAGTGGGTAGCGAGTAGTGTGCAGTGGGTAGTGAGTAGTGAATACTGAGTAGTGAGGTAGTGTTAGGGGTGGTAGGGGTCGGGTTCGGGAGCCAGGGGGCGCCGTGGCGAAAGGGGTGGACGGGGGGGGTGAATTTGGCGGCCAAAAGGGTTGAGGGGGGGGTGTCCCCGACGATGGACGGGGAAAAGGAGGGAGGGGGGGGTCGCCGATGTATCGGCGATGCGGCGCGATCCTCCGACCCCATCTACTCCGACCCCATCTCTGGGCCACCAGTTTTGCTGCAGTCGATGTTGTAGGCGCTTCGCGTAACCCGACCAGCCCATCCAAAAACGATGCCCCGGCGAGGTGCCCTGACCAGGGATGTGAAGGAGCATATAGTGGAAGCAAGGTCTGGGGAAGCCGCCACAACCCAAGAGGGGGAGGATGGAGGAGGAATCCGAGGAGGAGAAGGAGGAGCCTTCAAGGCTCCAGGGAAAGAGCTTCGCCCAGGGGCCTCGGCGGCGAGCCCCGAAGGGAAAGGAGAAGGGGCAGGCCTTCCCAGAAGGCTCGGAAGTCCCCCGGCTTTCCGAAAAGTTTTCTAAGCCTTCCCCGACGACGCAGAGTTGGAGGGCCGCCGAGGACCGACGAGGACGCCCGAAAGCCTCGAACGCCCGAAAGCCTCGAAACCGAAACTCCCCCCCCATCGCTCGCCGCCGAAAGGAGGAGGAGCCTTCGTGGTTTCAGGAGGAGAGAGCTTCGCCCACGGGCCGCGCCGGTCGTGCTCGCCCGCCGCCATGCGCCGGGGGCCCTGCGCCGTACCGCTGGCGCGCGCGAGCCCCGAACCTCGAACCACTTCCTCGACGCAGACGTGTGTGTTTCGGGCGTCTGCCAGCGGGAGGGACGTTGCGAGGAGGGAGCCTCAGCCACGGGCCGCGCCAGTCGTGCTCGCCCGCCGCCATCCGGCGGGGGCCCTGCGCCGTAGCGCGGGCGCCTTCGGCCGCTCGCGGAGGCGCCTGCGGCCGCTGGCGCCTCCCGCGGGGCTCCGCGGCCGCCTGGGGCGCACGGCGCCGGCGGCGCCGCCCTGCGCTGCAGTTTCGGGGGGCCTCGCCCGTCCCCAGCACTGGTGGCTTCTCTTGCGCCCGACGCGGCCTCGGTGCGGACTCGACGCGGATGTGGCGTGGATGCGACGCGGCCTCGACGCGGATTGGACACGGATTCGACGCGGATGGGGCTCCACATCTAGGCCTCCCAGATGGGGTCGGAGTAGATGGGGTCGGAGGATCGCGCCGCATCGCCGACGCATCGGCGATGCGGTTCGATGCGGAGCCCGATGTTCTCCATGCTGGCGGCGCCTATGCATCGCCGACGTCCCTGGTGCATCGGGGATGCGGTGCGATCCTCCGACCCCATCTATTCCGACCCCATCTAGGATGCCTCTAGCGTTAAGTTGGGCGTGCCCCTCCCTCCTAAATAGTACAAGAACAGTATGGCGGCGACGTTTGAGTATTATGGAGTACTTCTTGAATATGTGTTGGGCGTTTTGAAATTATTCGTTCAAAATCCGCTTGTAAAGTCGGGGCGCTGAAGAAGGAACCCTTTTCGTTTGGGAGGGGCTCAGTGCTCCTCAGTTGTTTTAATGTTCGCCTTAGGTTGTCCTTGGGTTTTCGATGGGAAATCGAAGTTGAACTTCGGAAAACATGGGGCCTTGTTTCGGATCGAAAGTTACTTAGGTCAACGCCCCCACTGTAGGGGGACATGCCTGACCTAACTCTAGCGGTTGCCTGGGGCGCACGCGCTGGCGGCGCCGCTTTTCCGCGTGCGAGGCCGGCGGCAGCTGCTCGAGGCAGCCCTCGGACGGGGCCAGGATAGCCAGGACCCCGGTGAAGGGGAGCCGGTCAGTGATTGGGCCCCGAAGCCCAAAACATGGACTGGAATCGCTAAGCCAGGTCTGTCGTAGCTGGTGCTTTTCGGGTGACGGCAATTCCAGTTAGTGGAATTGGACCGGGGGGGCGTCCCCGGCACAGATCACTAATCCAAGTCCCGCTAAACCCAGTTCTGCCAACGCTTGACAGGACGAGGATACATCCGTTCCAGAGCGTTCCGGAACGCTCTCAGGCAAAGAAGAAACAACAACATAAACATACAGTGTTGGCGCTCCGCGCGGATTTCTTGGATCCGCGCTGGGCCCCCCCCCAGCGGCGTCTCCGGGGCCGCCCCTGGCGCGCTCCGCGGGCCAGGGAGGGGATCCAGCGCAGACTATGATTTTTCTTATTCTGATTGGTATTACTCGTCTTATTCTTCTCATGTGTCTTTTTCCTCTTCTTCTTCTTCAACTCAGAGCGTTCTGGAATGCTCTGAGAAGGCCGCGGCGCTCGAGACATCCTCCAGAGCCGCTGGATCTCAGAGATTCTCGATATGTCCTCACCGGATGTTACAGTAGGGGCCCGACCACAAGAAGCCTTCCACAAGAAAACCAACCCTGAGACCCCAGGACGTCCACATTGATTTCTGGTGCGGGAGCGTCACGCTTTTCATCGCAGAACCGTCGACACCGAAGAAACCCAGGGAACCCTGGATGCGAGCAGGTTGTTTCTTGGCATGGGTATCCACTTTAGGAAACAACTTCCTAGGTGTGACCGCAATGTGCCCAGGCACGCTTTGCAGCATCGCCGAGCCGCCCGTGGGGCAACCGAGGTCCAGCCAGACCTCCCTCCCTGCTCCCTCCCCCATCCTCTCCCTCCCCCTCCCCTCCCCCAGCCTCT